CCTCTGGATTTGTATGATCCATCACAGAAACACGAAAGTAAGGGGTCGAGACGAGGGCTTGAGAAGTAGAGATAAAAAAAAGTGAGAGGGGGTGAGGGCGGCGTAAGACAAAGGGGAGGAGGGCGACCTCCCAGCGCTATCAAACTTGCCAATCAAAAGAGCAACGATGATGGCGCCGGGGAATTTTCCCCATGCCTGGAAGATCGACGTGACGTGGGGGGGGCAACCTGTTTGTTTTCCTCCTGGTCGCCGAATGCAGAGCTGGTGAATCCCAGCGTCCCGGGGGGGGGGGGGGGGAGAGACCAAGGAGGGGACCAAGGAAGCCAGGGGCAAGCTATCGTCAAAGACGAGCTGGACACTGGGGAGCGTGGGGGTTCCCCAGATCAGGACGTGTTCGGCGGGCTTGTCTCGTACAAGCCTGAGAGGGGGGGTGGAAACAGGGGCCGTTGTGCTGTCTGTGTCTGTGTACATCGGCGCGTGACCGACTGAGAAAATAGTCTGTTGAGGTGTTGAGGGGCGCTGGTACGTAGGTAGACAAATCAGAACCTTGACTCCTTGACTACTACCGTACGTGTGGCCTGGCCACCCCCACGTCGCAGTCACCGAGACCATGTTAGCCAAGAGCATGCATCCGAAAGCCGCACACCAGGCCATCATGGGGCTCCTGTCTGGTGGGAGACGGACATCCGGCCGGCGCGCACCTCACCTCAGCTGGGCCACCAAGCCGATGAGCGGGCGGCATCCGAACGAGTATATAGCAGGTGCTCAGTGCCCTGCTGCCCGTTCATTGCTCCTTCATTCTCGCCATCATCACGCGCATTTTTTCTTCTTCAAAACGTTGCTCGTCGTTTTCAGCCGGGCGAGAGTTTCCTTCTGATCCTGCTGTTACCAGTCAGCAGCCCCCTCCTTCCAAGAACGCACAACTCCCCATATACAGACAGACACATTCATCATGCCTTCAACTTTGACACCACCCCCAGCGGAAGCGACATGGGTTGCCGGTCAGCCCAAGGCCGTACACCACCGTCTCCCCGACGGCGTCTATGTCCCGACGCTGTGCTTCTTCACGGAACATGACGAGGTCGACCTGAACGTCCTGGAGCGCCATCTCGTGCGTCTCATCAACGCCGGCGTGGCAGGCATTGTTGTTCATGGCTCCAATGGCGAGGTGGCACACCTCACGCGAGAAGAGCGCGCGGCCGTCATCCGATGCGCCGCCGACACGATCCACCAAGAGGGTCACGATGTCCGCATCCCCCTCATTGCCGGGTGCGGGGCCCAGTCGACGCGAGAGACGCTGCAGCTCTGCCGGGACGCCGCCAAGAGCGGGGCATCCCACGCCCTGATGCTGCCTCCGAGCTACTACGGCGGTCTGCTCGACGACGACAAGATTGTGGATTACTTCCATGACGTGGCCGATCAGAGCCCGCTGCCGCTGCTCATTTACAACTTTCCCGGGGCGGCGGCTGGGCGCGACCTCTCTTCCGACGTCATCCTACGCATCGCAGCGCACCCCAACGTGGTCGGTGTCAAACTGACGTGCGGAAACACGGGCAAACTAGCTCGGGTCGCGGCGGACGCGCCCGAGGGGTTCTTCGTGTCGGGAGGAAGCGCCGACTTTATTCTGCAGGGCATGGTCGTAGGCGCACATGGCACCATCTCTGGGCTCGCCAACGTGGCACCGCGGGCCTGCGTGCGCATCATGGAGCTTTTCAGGACGGGTCGGCTCCTCGAAGCGCGACGTCTCCAGGCCATGGCTGCCAAGTGTGACTGGGTCGCCATCAGGACGGGTTTCGTCGGCGTCAAGGCAGCTATTGGACACTTTGAGGGGTACGGTGGAGAGCCACGACGACCATGCGTGGCACCAACACCACAAGAGCTGAAGGGCATCGTGGAGGGCATGGCCGAGTTGCGCAGAGAGGAGGCGGCGCTGGAGAGCGAGGCGTGAAGAGCGAGGCGTGAAGAGCGAGGCGTGAAGAAGCCTGGGCGGATCGAAATCAGGACCGAGGTGCATGTATGCCATGCTCCCCCACCCGGGCTGTCTCGCCGGGCGGGTTTTCTGGGGTGGCGGGGAGGATTCCACAGCATTGCTGGGCGTTTGGTTACTCGTTTGTGGATCTTGTTCTTCGGAAAAGCCTTTGTACAAAGTAATAATGGAAAGTGATTCGTCGTATGAAAAGCTGCAAGCGCCCAGCCAAGTCGTCAGATTCGCGTCAGTGGCATGATTTTGCAGCACATCGTGAGCGCCTCCTCCCACGGATGGGATAGTGCTGGATCCTAGACTGCTGGAGTGACCCCCACCGAACGAGCGAGGCGACGACCACGACGTTCCCCGTCGGGGTGCATGCTGGGAGTAGTGTTACTTCGCTTCAGGGGCGGGGGTCGTCGGGCAGAGATCGTCTGGGCGGCAAGAAAGAATAGTGGCCGGTCAGACATTGTTGGTGTTGCTGATGCCACCCTTGCCACCTCATTGATGGGCCGTATCACAGGATGACTGCGAGGTTGCTAATCGAGGTTGCCACATCCTTTTCTTCCTGTTTCTTCTTCCTGTTTCTTCTTCCTGTTTCTTCTTCCTGTTTCTTCTTCCTGTTTCTTCTTCCTGTTTCTGGAGACTTGCATCACGCCTCACAAGGGGCTCTTGCAGTGGCTGGGCGATTTGACCCAAGAGAGAAAGAGGCAACACACCATGCCGAGGTCATCAGAGATCTGCTGCCCGCGTAAGGCTACCTTGGAAGGGGGCCTGGGCCAGCGATTGGGTGGCCGGCTGGGTGGAGGGGGGCCAAGAGGCGGCGCATGCACCCCGCAATCACCCAGCGTCAGCAGGGTGACAGCACCGAGAGTACATGGAGGTGGTAGCTAAGGTAGCTACAGTATTAGTGTTTTTCCTCGGGTTGACCGTTGGTACGCCGAGAAGAGGGGGGTGGCTGTGCTAGACGCGGTGAGAGAGACACAGGAAGAGACACAGAGAGAAGGAGAGGTGGTGGGGAGTCGGGAGAAGAGAGGGCTCGTCACAGAAGGGAAACAGAAGGGACAACAGAAGGAAAAGTCCACCAATGGACAGCTGCTCGTCGCTTCTCGATGGTCTGGCTTGCCTGGCAAGCGTTCACACCTCCTCTGCAGGGCGTGTGTGTGATGAACTGAGGGGCATGCCACCAGGCCTCCACCAGCACCCATTAGGTAACGACTGGGCCCCTTGGGGGCCCCTTCTTGGGAACTCGGGAACCTACTGGGTGGCAGGTGGACAGTAAATGGGGCGAGCCACTGCACTGGCCGGGGCGACTTGGTCGTCGTCTGGTCGGCGTTGGGGGAACATCGACACATGGATCAAGTAATGAGAGAGTAATTGTGTTACATGGTACGCTTCGCGACCACGATCAACCGGCACTGACCGGCGCGGAGGGCTGTCCGCGGCCGGGGGCGGAGGGAAAAAGGGGCATCCCAAGAATTCCCCCTAGCTGTCTCTCCAGGGCGGTGATCGATAGATGGACATATATATATGTAAATAGAGGTGTGGAGATGGAGATGGGGGTATAGAGTGTATATATGATATATATACATATACATTGATATCGACTGGTGTATATCGATATAGAGGTGAGAGGATTTCTCGGATATAGAGACATATATATAGGTATCATGCTGTAGCGTATATCTCTCTGTCTCATTAGTTTTTTTTTTTTTT